TCGGCTGTGATGTCCAGGATGTGGATGACTTCTGGCCAGAGGATGAAACGGTTGACTGCAGTGAGGCAGTATGTGTAGCCTGCTGACATTGGAAGGGGTCCCATGAGGTCAATGTGAACGGTGTTATGGGGCACTTCACACTGGACTCTGGCGGGCCAATTGAGGTCTGAGTATTCGGCTAGGAGGCTGTTAACCAGTGTGCCGCTACTGAGAGCCTTGAAACTGGGAATCAGCGAGCTGGCTGCTTGTACCAAGGAAGACAATGACATGTCTCTGTCCAGTAGGCAGTTGTTTTGGCAGTCCACCAAGAGGCCAAAATGAGACAGGGAGTTGACACTGATGAGAGGTTGCATGATGTCGACCATCATGAATCGCCACATGAAATCTCAACGTAGTACCAAGCTGAGGTTGAGGGAAAGCCATATGTAAGCGGGGATGGTAGTGCCTTTATCCGTGCAGAGGTCATAGATGACATGTTCCCTTCGCCGTGGAATGAGCCTGTGGGGATACACGCAGAGGTCTGAACCTGTGTCGAGTAGGAATCACCATTTACTGATCCTGTCCGTGATGAAGAGGCGGCCTGTGGTTGTAAGCTCTCATTGGGTCAATCTTGGAGAAGACAGAACAACCGAAAAGCTGGTGGGAGTAATTGTGGTTATGACGAATGGGGTAGCGATCTAGGATTGAGCTGGTGCTGGTCTGGCATTGCGTGTCCTGATGCCAACCGTTATCTTTCTTGGGGACGAGGTGTAGGGTGGAAGATCAGGAGCTTTCAGAACGGGGAACTGTGCCATCCCACAGCATGGCATCGAACTTGGATTTGGTGATAGCTAGTCAGTCCGGCGCCAGTCGCCATGGTTGGCAAGTCACTGGTGGGCCTAGTATAGTCCAGATGTGGTGTCCACCACCTGTATACCTCACTAATGTCTCTTATTAGCCACTACACATTAGAGTCCCAAAGAGCCACTACCAGGTGCCTGATCAGTACAGTTTCCAGTGTTTCTAGCTACATCAGAATGGATCAGATGACTCTTATCTAGTGTTAGATCCATTACTAAATTTACAGTGCACTGAAAGGAGTATCCAATTTACAGTCAAGATACAGCAACTAAAATTTAAAAAAAAAAATTAAAACAAAAGAAAAGTAAAAAACTGAAGACTGATGTAACAAAAATGTAATGATCTAGTATTATAAATGTGTTTCTTGTTCCCCTGAATATGAATGTTAAAGGTATAAGAATGGACTGCTTCAGATCCTTGCAATTATCTTTCAAAAGTTTTAAAACAGAACGTGATAAATTTCTACCAAAAAATTCAGAAGGTATAAGTCACCAGGTACTGATTAATTCAGCAGTGTTATCAATGCAGGAGGTACAGTGTAACTCTTGAGTTACACCTCAGAAAAGAAATGCTATAGTGTATAAAATGGGTGAATGGAAATGGAGGTACACCTCACAGTGAGGTACATGATATCATGGCAAAGAAGTGCATGAATCAGTATTGCATGCGTAAGTAACCAAACAGTTCTCGAAACAGTTTTTAAATATTCCCCACATATTTTCCATACAGCTGAGGTTCTTTACAGAGTTTGTCACAGAATTCACATTATTCCCCCTAAGAGCTGCACCTTCTGTGAAGTGTCATTCTACATACTGGAAGTAAAACTTTCTGCCTATGAAATTCAAAAGTCTCTTCCAATCCAAGTCTGACTACTTGAAGCAAAATTATTTAACCATCTGCTCCCAATAACATAGCAGAGTAAAACTGAAGGGGCTCCTGATTCTTCTGAAGTAGCAAAAGGTAGTAAAATCCAGTTTAAAATTTAAATGTCCAGAAAGAAACTAGGATGATAGAAAAACTTTTTAAATGGAACAGGCAGGAGAAAATTCTACTGGTGGCCACAGGCAGTAGAGTGATTGAATTAGTTTAATTTTCTTACCAAAACAAAAAAAAAATCTCCGTTGCTTTAGTCCACAAACAAACTATATCGAACGAGCAACCGCCGCTTATCAGCAAAGTTAGTGCCAACATTAGTGGATGGGGGTGTCGCATGGTCAGCGCAACGAATCCTCATGGCCATTAATTTCGGTTTTCTAGACCAGAGCCAATACTTTTCCATTCAAGTAGCTCCTCAATTATCATCATGAGGCTGAGTGGACCCTTTTCCAGACCCCCCTACTTCTAAGAAAATCTGGTAGCACCGGGAATCGAACCCAGGACCTCTGGATGTGTAGCCAGGCACTCTGACCACTAGACCACAGAGACAATTTCTATACAACTTGTAGACATGGTTACTTATCAATGCATGACACCACACTTCATGCATGCAGCTTTAGCTCTATCCATCACTGTCCCATCAGGTCTCATTCGAACATGCTAATGCAGGAAGTCATGTCTTGGTTTCCTGAACCTAGTGTGGTTTATTTTAATGTTATATTTTAGCGTCCTGTTGCACTGATTTACATCCATGATTTATTCTGTCCGTCTTACAGTGCATACATTTATTCACCTTACTCTTCTCTCTTGCACTACATGTTTCGGCACGAAAGTGCCATCTTCAGGTGCTTTTCGATGTACATCGAACTACTTCATTACATGCCCTGTTGTCTTCATACTAAAATAACTAAAATATATATTCGTCATATATATTGCTAAATTTTAAATATTAAAAATATTAAAACTGTTCAGGATTTGTCATCCTTATGTCGTATCTCAATACGCAAGTCACACCTATCTTCTTCTATCGGAGTATTCTTCCTACTTTCATGTGTGTATTGTGCTTTGTGTTGTGTCTTGCTCCTGTGACTGCATGTGTTATACTCACACACTTATAACACACGCAGTCACAGGAGCAAGACACAACACAAAGCACAATACACACATGAAAGTAGGAAGAATACTCCGATAGAAGAAGATAGGTGTGACTCGCGTATTGAGATACGACATAAGGATGACAAACCCTGAACAGTTTTAATATTTTTAATATTTAAAATTTAGCAATATATATGACGAATATATATTTTAGTTATTTTAGTATAAAGACAACAGGGCATGCAATGAAGTAGTTCGACGTACATCGAAAAGCACCTGAAGATGGCACTTTAGTGCCGAAACATGTAGTGCAAGAGAGAAGAATAAGGTGAATAAATGTATGCACTGTAAAACGGTCACAATAAATCATGGTTTATTTTATGTAAGATTTGAGGCTTTCACAGTAAATAAATGTGCTAAAATCTTCCTGGGTGATCAGCCATGTCAATGCTGAGGCACTCCAATGTTTCAGAGATCTCCCCCATTTCCATAATCAGGGTTGATGCAGTGAATGGCACTGATTTCACAGATTGGGGTTTGTATGTATGTGTGTGTACGTATCTCAGCAACTTACCGCCATTCACACCAACCTTGATGATAGAGATGGATGAGATGTCTGAAACATTGGTGTTTAAAAAAAAACTGACATGGTTCATTTTACTTTATATAAGACTTGAGGTTCTCACAGCAGTGACTATGAAGAATGCCGTCTTCTGGGATGTGGTGCCATGTAGATACTGTATAAACCTGAAGATGGAGATGATATGTTCCTCTGAAACATTGCTTTATACACTATCTACACAGCACCACATCCCAGAAGACCGCATTTTTCATATTTTACTTTACTTTATGCACTCTTCAGCTGACAGGCTGTTTAGTTTATACTGACAGAGTACTACTTACACATACAGGCATAATACATACTAAAAATGAATATGGACAAGAGAGTAACTATGAGGATCTCAAGGAAAATGAACTCAAATATAAGTATAAAAGTTTATGTCACAATGAGTAAAGAGGCAGGCAAGTTTATCTTGGAAGCAAAATAAATTCAGAAAGAAAAATTAAAGAAGAGATTGACAGAACACAAAACAGTTTTAAATTGTATCAATTCTATCACTTAAAATTTGATATTATGGAACAGAGATCTCAAAACAGTGCAAATTAACACTTTCTTCTAAAATTATACATTTAATGCCAAAATACTGACACTTACAAAAAAAAAACAAAAGCACAAGTCAAGCATTGAATATGAAATTATGAGGCAGGTTCAGGAAAAAAAAATACAAATTACAATTAAAAATTAAGTTTTTAGAGAAGATGGATTTTAGTATTTGTTACCAGAATTAGGGGAGAAATGACTACAGTGGTTGGGTCATGAGAAATGAATGGTTGTAGGGAATGAGTATTAATATTTAAAGGAGATCTACAGGACAACAAACAACAAGATGATTCTGCCAGGTTCTAAAAATCCACTTATCTAAAACAATAATCTTCAGCAGCAGTCACTGATGACATTATACACCTAGTCTTACATAAGTAAAGGCCACATATTGAGGATACTGTTCTTTCCCAGTGAAGAAAACTTTAACTAAAATATCTTGATATTTCAGAAATACTCATGAAGACCAGTATGTGGAATGAAAACATGTATCCACCAGAAAGGTCATCAGCATTTCATACATTACCAGAGATTACTTCTAAGAAAATGTATGATTCGATTTATCCTATTGTGGTGCAAAGTTGCCATGAAACCCTGCAAGCATGTTGCAATTGATGAAAAAAATATGAATCACCGACAATCTTGCAAAAAATCGCGAAACAAGACTACATTAAAACGCATATATTTTGGTATAAAACATTATGGCTGAGCAAGATATTTCAATTATGGGCGATAATTATTAACCTCCATGCACAGAATCATACGACGCTGGAAATTAAGGCAGCATATCAGCTGATGAATGAAAATGGGCGTGAACCCACCTTCAACCGGCTTAAAGTGGGCGTGTTACTACAAGCCTACCTACCACACCATGCAATAACAAGGGGTTGGCATAAAATACGTTTTCTGTACGATGTATACATTTGGCATCAATGTCACCCAATATGAATTACATACAACTAGCAGATTATCATATATGTCGAAGATAAAACAGTCAGTCGAGATTCAAACTGAATACCAATCTTACCTCTGCTGTATAGATTCGCTAGCTCCTGAGCTCCTTTGTGATGAGGACCCCATCTTGGTTTTATTTTTTCTTCGTGAGTTACGGCTGAATTTGCGTTTGGATCATCTTCTAGCATTGAATTTTCATATATTTGTTGATCTGTCTTTACAGGCGCTAAGAAATTGGACGCCATAGTACTCTGAATCACTGCCCTAGTCAATCCATTCTCTTTGCACTCCATGTTGCACTAGTCTTAAATGGTACACCAATAAAAAGAAAGCGTATCCAAAGCCAAAAGAAGCGTACGTCATGTAGTTTTCCCAGTTTTTCCTTTTCTGACATGTGGAAAATGACACTTCAATTTGCCTCTGTTTCACTGCAACCTTCCCCATCCACACAATTAAACATAACGCAGGGAATGAAACGACTCACGATACTTCGCCCACTCTTCTTTTAAACCAAATCGAACGCCATAAACCACAAATTAACAAGGCTGACTGTGTATAAAGTTTGGTATAAAACATCACGAGTGTGCGTCAACCTCCTACAACCACATCCACGCTCAGTCCACAGCCGACGACAACCAACATGAATCGTATAACATAACGGAGTGTACTTCGTCATTGCAGCACGATTTCTTAGCGAAGTGTCACCGGGCGCATGTTCCCCCCACCACGAGCCGGTGTGACGTTGAGCGAAATCCTCTACAAACACTGCTTAAACCACGTTACGACAATAACGTGCTTTCTTTCGATCATTTTATTTTATTTTTTTTATTATTGCGGGTGTGATTGGGTGCGATATGTCACTGAAATATTAGCATTTCTTGAACATATAGGAACAAAAAATGCCCACTTACAGTGTTTTTAGAAGTAAAAAGTAAAGTGGATTATTTCCTGCAGAAGGAAAGATGAATTCAGTCTAAAACAGGAAAATAATAAATATGACAGCATTGAAATTTATGTATGTCAAAAATACTTTGTTATGAATTAAAATTGTTTTCCATGTGTACATATTGTCAAGTGATAAGAGTGACTATAGGCGGGGTTTAGATTGGTAATCAGATTTACTGAACTCTTACACTTTGATACAGCGCGTGACTACATTTTACGGTTCACTATTACACACACACACACACACACACACTAGTGTTCGGTCACGTTCTCACTGCCGTTGCATGGTAACGGCTTCCAACGGCGAACGTTGCCTTTCCTCTGGATTCCCGAACTAGCCCCGGCCTCAGCTACCATCTTCTAACGGCAACAGTTTACAATGACTGAACAGCAGCAATTCTTTCACTAACTCACTAACCCACCAACCAACACTTCATTAACTCTGCCTGGCTGGTAAGTTGCTGTTGGCCCTCGGCAGCACAGTGATTCTTGCTTCCGAGTTCCACGGGACTAATGACCTTATTTTACTGTCTGATGGCACTGGGGGGCCTTCAGAACTACTCACTAACTCCAGCTTTTAATTTGTTCTGCTTACATCTTGCCGCGGACCGCAGAGAGAAAAAAGATTTCCATTATTTTCGCATCTTCTTGTTGCTGTGGATTTATTACATTCGTGTCTGTTGGTGGAGCCGTTACCTAGCAACGGCTGTTGTATAGTCGCTTATTTCGCGGTCGTTGCCTAACAACGGATCTACCTGCCACAATATTAAAGATTAAATATGCTAGATACATTTTGAAGATAAATTCATACATCACTGTATAATGGACCGCTTTCTTTAACATTAAAAAGGGAAGGCAGCTGACTTTTGATACAATTCCAAAATTAAATTTGCCTCTGGCGTCAGAACAAAATATAATAAATCACAACAAATCTGAGATTAGAGGGAGAAAAAAGTTAGTAGTGATACTATTTTCCAAGCACGGGAAAATTCAGCAGCCAAAGTTAAATAAATATATATATATATATATATATAAATTCAGTAAAAATAATATTATTTATAACACTTCAAATTGTTGTTCCAAATTATTTACTTTTTTCCGATTTTTTTTTGTTTTTTTTTTTCAGAGAGCAGGGACAATTAACTGATAAAAGAAAGTCCTTCTGACAATAACATTTCAAATGTGTCTTCAGGTTGAGTATATCGTACACGTCACATCACTGTTATTTAAATGATTACTAGTATTGTTGTGCTCTTAAACTCTGCCCTTTGGTTGCATACGTGTTCCCGTTTCTTTTGACGAAAAATAACAAGAAAAATATGCACTGAAAAATAATAAATCAATAAATCAGCCATAGTTTAGTCTGTTGTAACGCTGGAATGGTAAGGGCCAGGTCATAATTGGGGTTTTTACCTGCTGGTCAGTTTAAATTGAGCCTTTCTCTCTTAACGGTCATACTGCTAGTGTTTCCTAGCCGATCGGATCGTATTGCAATGGAAAACGGCCGGTCGGTCCGAACAAACCGACAATAAATAAGTATATCTTACTGTTTCCTTTGGTCAAGCTGTACGCATTTTTGTGATGACAGAAGCAGATAAATGTAAAATCACAGAGATTCTGATTTTGACAGACCGGTCGAAAGCATTCCGCTTGGATACGACTCGGCCTGTTCCTCTTCCAATGTGACCACGGCATTCAACCGTGTTTTGTTTGCGTGATCTACTACTGTAATCCATGAGACAAAATTTATTGTACTATAGCTCTTTTTTGGGCCTTGGACGCTTTTTCAGTTTCTTGATATAGTCAGTAGGACCCCTTGGACTCGGGATCAGCCGTTACGAGACCGCTACCTGCACACAGGCATCCATGCCTCAAGTGGGATTCGAACCCATGATCAAAGTGTCTGAGAGGGCGAAGAGAGTTCATGCCTTAGAGAGCGCGGCCACTGTAATCGGCCGCGAGACCAAATACGTGCATTTATTTTTCTTGTGAATTTTTCGCTCCAGTTCAGGTTTCCTTTTCTTATAAGGCTAGTTAGTCGTCCATTGGAAGCGGAAACCTGCGAACTGGGATTCGGCCGAATCTGTGCGAATCTGTTCGTCCGAATTCGTGAGTTCACTGCGCGTCCTTTGGCTGCGTGTTCGGCCGATGCCATTCGCGTTCTGTCATGGCGCTGTCTGAAGATTTATGTGATCTGTACGCGTTTGATAGTCCTTTACTGGCTAGGTGACGAGCACAGAATAGGAGAAAAGAGTGGATTAGTGGAATTTTATCAAAAAGACAAACGTTTGATGAATTTTCTCATATATGGAGTGATTTACAAGAGGACGAGTCACAGTATTTTGGTTATTTTCGCATGAAGCAAGATACATTTGAATACACATTAAGCAAAGTATATCAGTTGAAGAAGTACAGTAACTTCCGAGAAACTATTTCACCTGAAGAACGCCTAGCTGTAACGTTAAGTTAAGGATTTGATAAGAGTTTGAGAAAACAAAATATTACATCGATGTTATATTATTCTTGCTTCTTAGTGACTACATACAAACCGTTGTTTCTACAAAGGATCGAAATTACTATGATACACAGCGGCACTGTTCTGGTCTGTTACAAATTCATTGCTGTGGGAACTATTATGGGAACTGCGTGTCGATTCAAAGGATAGAGGCGAAACATTTGACGTGGACATCACACTGCTGTTTCGATCCTCCTGTTCCTGCAGTAAAACATCCATCAATTTCATGCGTAATCGCAGCTGTCTTTCTTCAGGCAAGCTCATCAGAAATTGATAGTCACTATCCTGCTTCATTTGAGAGCTCTTTTCGAAGTAGCTCAACTTTTTAGATTCTATTTCGAAGAATTTGTCATCGTAATTAATTCTTTTCTTTCCTCTTTTTAGCGGACTTTTGAAATGCTCTTTTTGTGCCGGAGACGTATTTACAGGTGCATCATTCTCGATATCTGATTGAAAATCTGGAGTAGAAAATGCATCATTATATTCACTTTGTGTTGTAATATTATCAGTGCCTGTCTCAATACAGGCGTCCGCAATGTCAGGAACACTACTCGACAGATTTCTCGGTTGAACAGTATCAGTTCGTAGGTGGTGAACGCAGCTCTTCGTCCGAAAAATCCAAACCAATCTGGATATTTCGCAGTTCGCAAGTATACGCGCGTTCACGGACGAATAGTGCTGCTACCAATGGACGCACTCTAACCTGATGCAAGCTGTTAGGATCGTTCGTCCGTTTCCGTGCGTGTTCGGACGAACTCCTCATCGCAACTTTCCGCAGCTTTCCGCTTCCAGTGGACGAGAGGCCTAACTCTGTGCCGAGTTCTTACGTTTGAGGACGGCATTAGGAAACGGTTGGAAGATTCAGGAGAAGAAGAAACAGTGCGTACGTATTCGACGTGACCCAAGTAACATTCAGATTCTCCGCCATGTTGTTTGCCACGTTAGCTCTGCAAACGCTGTGGGCTTGTCACTGGAGCCACTGTGCCAGGGTCTGCAGGATGCTTTTATAGACATGACACACTGTCTCCAGAAACAAGTTAAGATTTGGCTTTTGGTCATGGTTATGAAGCTCCTCATTATGCAGTTTTCTCAAGCCTGTAACCGCCCACATTTTGGTGTATACTTTGTTATATCTAATTACCTTAAAGTACGTTAAATTACTTAGATTTTTTGAATTAATAAAATCAGTGCGTTAGTCACAAATTAGTTCGAGGGAGTTAGCCAGATTCTTTCACTTAAGCGAGACTTAGATAAAGTTTTGCAGTTAGTTGTAAGACAGAGGGCTTCACAAGTAAATTGGAAATAGGAGACTTCAACGTTATCATGGTTTATAACTAGTGGGGGGGGGGGGCTTTTACAGGACTGATTTCTAAAATGAACTATCGGAGGTGTTGAAATGCTTTTGGTCGTAATTAGGGAACACGTTCTGTCCTTTAAAATCGGCCTATTACAATATGGAAGATGAAGTCCTTCGTTTAAATTTGGGAAACTGAAGGAAAGGCCTTTTTGCAGTGACGCTTGGCTTAAACACTCTGCAAATTTCAGTGACCGAGTTCGACCTGCCGGGGTACCATTCCGACCATAAATTCTAAATCTTCAACTTTTATTTAAATTCGTTTAGCGGGGGGTGGAGTCCAACTGGGTCCACTCGGCACGGCGGCCACTGATTGGCCTATTGTAGCCTGCTCCGGGTGATTATGATGATGGAGAATTTGGTGGAATGAAGATTGGCTGGGAAAACCGAAGTACTCGGAGAAAACCAGCCCCAGCGCCACTTTGTCCACCACAAATCCCACTTGACCAGACCCGGGATTCAACCCGGGCCACCGCGGTGGGGAGACAGCGACTAACCGCCTGAGCTATGGCGCGGCCTACAAAATCTTGAACTTAGTAGCCATTTCGGCTTTCAAGACAACAAACTCAGTAAATACTCAGTATTTTACTCAGTTTACTCAGTAAACAGAAGTCGCTACTTGGCAATTTAAGTAATTAAATACGAATAGCTGAAAATGCTTGAATTTCGTCTGCCTAATGTCGCAAAGAAAGAGTGAACTGCTATGTTGTATCAATGCCTCAATGCACCAAAAACTATCTACGTGGCTGAAGTGATCCTTTGCTCTGGCTGAATGAATGGCCGCGGCGTGAGCACCTCCTGGTCAGTCTGGTATAGCCTGTCGACACGCCTGGGACCGACTCAAGTGCACACCTCACCTGCGCTATATGTGATGGTAGGACCA